TGCTGAACCACACGCTTAGGATCATACTAGAGAAATATACCATGAAAAAATAATTAATATATAATAAAAATATATAAATGTCTAAAAATGCTGAAATAAAAAAATCCGTTATATACAACAGATAGTATTATTATTTAAATTTAACCAAACTTTACAGAAAGTATAATTGATAATCATTTGCGAGGCAATTAAATTAGGTCAATTAGTGAACTTTATAATGACTCGTAACTGTTTAAAAACTGAAGCAAAACTAAATGACACGTAATAAATAGTTTAATGTCAGAGAGAATTAAAAAAATATAACAGGTTTAATTATTTTTTACCTCTATAATTTTAGACTTTGCAGTTAAAAAAAGTTTATTTTCGTTTCACATATATTATTTTTATTTTTTAAGTATCTTTATTATTATAAAGATTAAAAACTAAAATTTATAAAATTAAAAGGAATAAAAATGTAGTGTTAATTAGTTAAGTGATACCTAAGATTATACAAGGTTAATTAAATAAAAATAAAAATAAAATGGATATGGTTTAAGAAACAAACCTCGGGTGTGAAATTGCATGGCGAAAGGGTTCGGGTTTTGAGTTCCGCCGCGACGACGGTCCAATCTTGGATTCCGTGCCTGAGAACAGCTCCACCAAGGAGAAGCTCCTCCCAGGTGCTCCACGTTATCACTCCCATCGCGGTACACGTGTACGCCCCCGATTAAAACAGACGCGACTAACTTTTTCAAGTTCCTAATCCTACGCTCCCGGCTCACGTTAGCAAACACGGCCCTCGTAAAAAAAAACGCTACTCCCTCCGACTAACACAGACAACAGAAATGGAACCAAAATGCGAGGAAACATCTTTGGCGGTGTCAGAAAAGCACTTTTGGCGAGGAGGGAAAGCAGTGATACAAAAAATCAAAGGTGTGTTTGGGGTTTTGGTTTTTGGTTTGTTTTGTGAGAAATAAAAATAAAAATAATTAAATGTTGGACTTGTAACTTGGAAGGTGGGTTGAGAGAAGGTGGAAGTTGAAGTAAAATGAAAAAGCAAAAAGAAAAACAAAAACAAAAACAAATAAAATAAAATGAGAGGAGACAACAACAACGGACGACGACAATCGGGAATGTCGTGTAGACTTGTATTTTCAATTTCTCAACTATGCGTCTTTCGGTCTTATATATTTGGGGAATTTTCTGTGAAATACCCCTTTTACCCTTCTCAACATTTTAGTTTTTTCTCTCACATTTTTTATTGATTTTTGCCGTTTATCTTGAGATTGCGCGCTTTTGCCCAGAGGGAAGTGTGGATGTCTGAAATTTGAATTTCCTTGATTGAATAATGACAAATTTGTGGTCTTTGTTGTAATTATGGTTTTTAATATATTAAATTTATTTTTAATTTTTTTAATTATATTATTAGTACAAAATATTCATCAAAAAATTTTGTTAATCATTTTAATGAGATATCCTTTTTCAACTATGTTTTTTTCATACACAAGATTTAAATTTAAAATCTTATTTAAATAGATTGAGTTTAATAGTACTCAAACCAATAATTAATTGATTTTATTATTTTTGTTTGATAAGTATGACTAACATTATATTTTATTTATAAAGAAAATTAAATAAAAAAGTAAATATATTTAATGTTTTCAAAATATCAAATTCATTTAATACTTATAATAAATTTATTTGATAAATATTAAATGTTTTATATTTTCAAAATATTAAATATATTGACTTTTTATTTAATATTTTCTTCAAAAAAAATGATAGGATAATTTATAAAAAAAATATATAACGTTATCTAATTTGTTATCATGGTTTACATCAAACACTATATATACCAAATTAAACACCGTTGAATTTTGTTTAAACATTAAGTGAATAGTGAAACTTAATATGAAGATCCTCAACATATTATTAACTATATATCTTGTAGTTACTATGTTAACTCTTATCTACCATTTTCACTCATAAAAAATATTATATATGATCAATTAGGACTGAAAATAAGTGAAGTTGAGCTAAGTTCGATTCAATTTGACATAACTTAATGATATTTGACTTAGTTTGAAACTTGACTTGACTCAAGTTTGAATGAGCATTTTTTTCAACTTAAATTTGACTCAATTCAACCTCATTAGCTACTTATTAACTCAAATCACATGAATCGAGAGTCAAAAATTTTAATCCTATACATTTTAATTTATTAATAAATTTTAGATAAAATAATTATTTATTAAAAAAACATAACTTATTATATTAACTTTATAAAAGCACAATATATGACTAAAAAAATATAATTATATCAAAAGTCTGTATAAATAGAAATTATTACTTTGCTTAAAATAACATAAAATATAGTTCATAACCATAAAATTATAAGGTGTCCATTTTTTTTTATGAATATTGAGTTATAACTGAATTTTCTAAATTCTTTCAAATTTTATAAATTAAAATTAAATAGAAAGTCAATTATATAAAATATATATTTATATGTCGAGTCAATTATGAATCAAATAAATTGAATTATACTAAATTCAAGTTTGATTTATTTATTTATCGAGTTCAAATTTTAATTCAAGTTTAATTGAGTTTCAAATATCTTTTAATTAATTTAGTACATTGTCTTTACTGGGATTAATGTTTATCATATTCTTATCATATCTTATTCTAACATCATATCATATTTTGAACACCAAACAAATCCTTAAAGTATATTTCCCTTTTTATTTGCACCATATAGGATTTTTTTCCATGACACGTATTGGAGCACATGAGTAAATGATATTTATACAACACTAATGAAAAACAGGCATTATATGCTTCTCTCATTTAAAAGAAATAAATAAAACAAAAAAATAGGTAATTATTTAAAACGTGTACCTCTAATTTTTTGTTTAAAATTATAGAATTAGATAGTTATTTGAAAGGTATGGACTGTCTGTAACTTAGGATTTACAAAAGAAGAAAAAAATAGTAATTTAAGAGTTATAAATTTTAGGAATAATTTTGGATATAAAATGTATAAACAGGAGATATCACTTTTATTATAGACCAGTAAGAGAGATAATATATATATATATATATATATAGGTGGAAGTTGAAGT